GTTCGAAATCGGTCCAACGTGACGGTTCACCCTGTTCCTCTGGTAAAAAAATCTTTTTTGTTGATTATGACTGAAGTTGCTCTTAGGGATTGATGAATATAAAATAATTATAAAACCCAATAATAGTCAACCTCAAAATTGTAACGTACATGATTGAAAATGTAGAAGAGCGGCCTTCGATGCATTTTGATCCGGACCACGATTGTTGGCCATTTTGATAAGGGGTTCGATGGAAAGCTCACAACCTGCAAAATTGGTGTACGAAATCGATAGTCACATCCAGAAGAGCAAAGGGACTCCAAACCTCTTTGATCGCAATCATATCCAGAAGGTCGAACTCGCTGTTGTTCATGTAACTGCTCAAATCGCCTTTGTCGGTGTTGAGTCCCAGATCGATTTCTGAAGCGTCATGGGACCACGAGGCAAACTTCAAATCGCATTCCTGCAAACGTCCATTTTATCCCTCCGTATGCAAATTCGGACAAAAACGGCTCCCTAGATGTGCTGCGTCAATTCGAATCTAGCTCGTGTCTCGTGGACTTTCAAATTCTCCTTCAAAGACTTTTTGCCACCAAATTCCCGCGAGGATCAAATACCATTTCAAAAGCTGAAGCAGTAAACGTGACGCGTCCGCCCTCAATCTAGGTCTTTTTGGAGTTCACGCCATGCGTGTGACTTCTTTGACAAACGCAGTGCCATTGTAGTGCGTCTTGGAATGTGCAGCCCCTTTTGAAGCCGTTACACTAGCCTTAGAAGCCGTCCGTAACTGATTCAAAGCTTTTGTTCTCCTGAAGGGTCTGACACCCGACCAACCCTGGAGGGATTCAAATTCTGGCCGCTTCGGAAAAGATTTGTTCCAGGGCTACAGGTACAAAAGCAGCGCCACTTATTACTGCAACTTCCTGTACCCTAAACATGAAGGGAATCGCGAAATAGACTTGGATAAAAAAGGGTGAAGTCTTCAACATTGATGAACCCTTTTTGGAATGCGCCTCGCATTCTCCCTCCATTCGTAATCGTTGTGACAATTTTCAATGCGATTTGGCTATGTCATGAATTGTGGAGCCATGAAAGCCAGTCTTTTTATCCTCTCAGACAAGTCTGCAAGCGATTAGTCTATCCCGAAGGTGTTGATGGTCACCGGTGGATGGTTGGTCGGTCTGGACGGCGTAAAATCCAGATTTGTTCCCCAAACCGAACGCGTGCTACACCACCTCCGTCCTTGGAATCGCCTGCCCCACAAAATAGGGTTAGGTAGGCTAGCTTTGTCCTGAGCATGCGAGTATACAAATGTTTCAGGTATTCAAATATTTCAAACGCTAAAGCGGAACGTCTACAGTATTCTATGAGGGAATGAAAGTCATAGTGAATAATGGTGAACTTT